TTTTCCAAAATTACAGTTTTGCCACTAGAAATCTCCAATTTGATCCATACGACTACCCTAAGGTTTTTCGACGTTCCGGATTCATTTTTAATGTTATTTTAACCTAAAAACATTGCTTTTTATGATTTATTTCAAAACTAAAATAAATTCACACTTGGAACATTAAAATTTCTATTTTATTCCTTCGAACTACTATAGGTGATATCCTTACGATTTTAATATATATATATGGTTTATTCTTAAGTCATTACATATAGAAGAATCACTAAACAAGTACATTAATATATTAATGTAAACATATGGGGTTTTACACCTTCAAGGTCTAATAAGAAAGCACAACCCTTTACTATCCAAGGAGCACCATTGTGCAGATTTTTGGTCAACTTCATAGAATAAACTGATTTGACTCAGGTATTTCTAGGAGGTGTAACCTATATGGTTGGAAAGATATACGAGTTAGGGTTCTAACAAAAATAACGGTACACAATTCGGACTTTCCAATAAAGAGTTATGATGAAATTAGCGAAAGGTAGTCTGCCGGACAGATTTTTGGACAGTGTAGACACTACTTCGTAATATGGACATAACTCCTTCCTCCTAGTTCCGATTGAGATGATTCAAGGTGATATGGAATCCTAAGAGAGAGCTCTACAAATTTCATGTTTTAAGTTTTGAGAGATATGAACTGCATCAAGGTCGAAATCGAGCTTGATGTTACAGCCAGTGCACTGTTCATCCATTTTTCATTCTACCAAATTCAAACACACATCACTACACATATCCCCATTTTTACAACAATTATTTACTATATATATATATACATATATAAAAGAAAATGCGGGGTGTTACAATAAATTAAAGGGAACAATAAAAACACATATATTTGAGAAAACAATTTTTATAAAAATGTATTCGTCATTCCTGACTTTAAAATTGAATATTCTTGACTACCTGATATATTTTTTCATATAGATTGTGTTTTTTGTATTTTTAAGAAATATACACACAACAATGTAAAAGTCTTCCTTTAATATTGATTGGATTAGCTCTTGAAAAGTTAGTGCGGTAACACTCTTTTTCTTCATGGTTTAGGCGTTCTAATTCTTCTTCAGCTTCGATATATTTTTCAATGTGTCGTTGAAAATCCCATCTCATGATGTGGCCAGCTTGAGGAGGCCCAACTAAGACTTTTGGGTCCGTCCATTCATCAACCATTATCAAGATCTTTTAACTTTTTCTGAATGCTAAACAAATAATTATCAATTTTCATACACACAAATATACAGAGAGGAAAGAGAGGCATCCATCCCATATAGTGAACTTGATTTGGGGTCCTGAAATGACTTTGTTTGTCAGAGTTGTAGTTTAATAAATTGCAAGGGTGGTTATCTTGTCAATACTCAAGGAGGAGATCAATAACATGATACAGTCCCAAATATATGTTGCCATGACATATTGTAAATAGAATTACAAAAAATAAAATAAAATTGAAAAGCGCACAACATGAAGTGCTAAACACCAATCAAGTCTCACACCATACACTTCAAAATTACAAACACATGACATCACTCACAAAGGACAAATCAACGGAGAGTTGAAAAGTTTTAATTATTTTAGTGACTTATAAGATTCTAGTGATATCAAATATTAGACTGTTTGAAATCTTGAAATCATGCAGTGGCGGTCTAACTTCTAAAAATGATACTCTTACAGGTCATGATCCTACTATCTTCTCAAATTTCCCAAAAGAAGAGGAGACGCTAATGATTGAGTTTTAATGATAGGGGGAAGATAACAATGTGGGTTATATCGAACTAATTTTCTTGACCATCAGATTAATAGATTTATAAGGGAAGATTTCAAAAATTGATGCTCTTTGTCTTGTTATTTCACTTTTTACGTTGACTATAATTTAATCTAAATGATGAAAATTAAAATGTAAAAAAATAGTCTTGTGGTTAAATATTTTGTAGATTATTATCATTCAAAAGTTTTTCTTAGTTGTTAACATTTTAGAAATAGTATAAACACAAATATAAACATAGGTTATTGGAGGAAATTTTGAATATTTAAATAATTAAGGATGTAATGGTGGTAATGTGGATAATTAAATGCAAAATGACATATTAGTCTTATATTTTACTTTCAGGCTTCTTGTTCTTATTACTAGTACATATGAATTCTCAAGTTTGAAGCAACAATCTTAGTCGAATTATAAGAATGGTCTAATGCATGAGTCTCCTACCACAGTGAAATCTGAGAAAGGTCACATATATGCAGCCTTACTCCATATGCAAAAAAGTTATTTCTACGACTCGAACATTTGACACCCAAATCACAATGAAACAATCTTACTACTGCACCAAAATCCATCTTTTAATATTAGCAGAATTAAAAGAACCTAAGCCATGTTGAGGTAACAAGGGCGCACCATTCTGCAAAGCAACATATATGATAAGAAACTTGTATTAAAATCAGCAAATTCTATAACATCTGCTTTGAATAAAAAAATAAAGCAAAATTGAACTACTTTGTTATGCACACTATACATAAACGGGCTACTTCAACATTGTCGTGATAGTATTTGTGCATATTGGTACTTATACGACAAGAAATTTCACTACCTTGTAAAACAGATGTCTCCATTTACCTCAGTTTTTCATTCAAAGCTACTTGGTGGATTCTTATTCAAAGCTTATAACACTTCCCCTTATCACTTGGGTCAAGTGAACTTCAATTCACCATGAAGATTGGGTGTGGGTGGGAGAAGGAACAACTGTGTTGATTCAATTAGAAAATGACCAATTATGTTTCTTATGTTGAATGATTAGGGTTTCAAATTCAAGTAGTTTATTGCTACAAGATTAGTGAAGTTACAAAATATCAGTGATTATATGCAATTTACCTGCCAAAGATTGCAATGACAAAAAGATAATAAACTAAAACTATTCCAAAAACAAAACGAAGAAACCTTGACCATTCAAAACTCACAAGGGTCCGATTAAAAATAAAACAAACTTGGCTAAGTACAACTTACATACATTGAAATCAACTCTACATGACTATAAATGAGTCAATTATGAGTTACATAAATTTTAGGGCTTACTAACGAACTTTGATTCGATGATACTTCTTACCTTGTGAAAGTTTTGTCATATTAAGGTCAAAGGTTCAAGTCTCATTTCCACCTGNAGTTACATAAATTTTAAGGCTTACTAACGAACCTTTGATTCGATGATACTTCTTACCTTGTGAAAGTTTTGTCATATTAAAGTTAAAGGTTCAAGTCTCATTTCCCCCGACCATCCCCCTCCCCCCAATATATATAAAGAAAAATAAATAAATTTTAAGGCTTAAAACACTTAAAGACACATGAAGAAATTGATAACTCTAGATGTCACTTGGAAGGTGAGTTATGTCAACCTCATGGTTGATTGTATAGCACTCCTTGGAAAAGTCATTCAAACACACTAGCTATTGTAAGTGGAACCTAAAAACTTAAACACTAAAAGAGCTTAAACAAAGCCCACTATATATTTGGCCAATCTCATGTAATCAATTTTTTCCCCTAAAGATTCTCTCATTCTTAGTCTTTAACGTGAATAGTGAATTAAGACTTGAACTAATTCAATTACATTACGGATAAGATTTGATTATATTAACATTAGTGGGTATTCTGTGCGACACACAAAATTTATTATCTCTTTTTATTCTAATGTTATATCAAATCCTCCGTAACATAATATCACTAGACAATTTCTATTAGTATTAAAATGATGTTTATCTATATTTTAAATAATTAAGAAAGATAATTGAAATTTTAAATTTGAAGTAGTTTAAAAAAATGGTATGAGTGGTTATAAATGACAAATGTAATGTTTTGATTGGATTTACCTAATTAAATATTTCAAAATTTTAATAATTAGGCATTTAGGGTGAGAAGTCATCGCAAAGTCTCTCATCCTTAATTTTATTGTTTATAGTATAGTAAGATACGAAAAAGGAAAAGGTTGAAGCTTTTACATTATATTCCTACATTTTTCTTTCCAAGATGATTGGATCTTACATTTTGCTCCCCATTTACCCCTAATTTGGGAAAGAAAAATGTTATTTGGATATAATTTGAAGACCAAATCAACCATAGTTGTTGGATTAAAAAAGAATTCTATTTAAGGGTGTTATATCCAATACTTTGCGAAAGAGATTTTTTTGGCCTATCCTACCTAATCAAGTATATTATTCTTACTCAAATTCTGTCTAAAATACTCAGGTAGGAAGTCGAGTAGGAAATCGGGTGAACACAATATTTTTCAGTTATTAATTTTTAAATTATTTTAACAATTCAATTAAGTAATATACATCAATTAATCAACATAATAATATTAAAAATTTAGCACATTAACAGTGTATATATATATATAGGGTCGAGCAGGAAGATGAAATTTTTATGGGTATTTCGCATTCTTACCAATAGGGTGGGGTCGAAATATTTGGATAATAAAAAATTTCAACACACCCCTAATTCCATCTAATATTTAAAATTACTATTACTTTAATGATTGTATTAATTTGATCCTCAAATTAATTCCCCCTATAACATCTTTGAAAAACTAAAAGTGGAATTATGTTATTACGGCCTAAAAACCTAAGGTAATATTTTACCTTAATAATGATATGCTATTTGATTCTACAAAAAATGTTCCACAGTTTTTAATATAAAAATACTATTAGATTGTAAGTTTTTCCTTTCTCATAAAGTTATTTTTTATAAAGATAAAAAGTCGTGTAAAATGCACTTCCCAAAAAAAAGATCAAAATAATTTTTTTTTTCTGTCTTATGAAATTTGTCAAGGAGTATTGAAAAATCGAAGCTATATTATCTTTTCCGCAGTGCCCAAACTACAATCCCTCTCTCTCTCTCTCTCTCTCTCTCTCTCTCTCACACATACACACACACACAAACCTTTCTCACCATGGCGTCGATGACTGCATTCACTGCTCAGATTTCGACCTTGCGTGGACCCAATGACTGGAAAATGCCTAGGCTATCCTCAGGCTCGTTCTGTACTCTCTCTCTCTCTCTCTCTCTCTCTCTGGCTGTGTGCGTGCTTGTGACGTTGATATTTGTCTATATCTGTTCTCACACAAGTTTTAAAGTAGTAATCTACTTCAGGGCGAAATGGGTATCTAAGTTTATGCTTTTAAATGTGAAGATTGGAATTTTGGTAGGTTGTGATTAGTATTTAGAATCTTCAATTAAATGCAAATTTTGCACTTTCACTTGGCTTTGTTCTTCTGTGTAAGATTTCCCTAGTGTATGTGAAATTTCCACAATTGAATTTGCAGAAAACCCAATTCGAACTGTTCCATTTGTGTTTGGAGGTCCGGGCAGGGCTGTATATGTATATTGTTGATTTGAAGAGCTTCTTGGATGTACCTGTGGAACCTTATTTGGTCTCCCGTGCCAATGACTGAAACCTCACTTTTGTTTTTGAAATCAAAATGGATTCTTAGGTTTAGTAATATGGTCTCCTCATGCAATTTTCTATCAAATTATGAGAATAAAAGAATCTCTCTCTCTCTCTGTTTGTTTTTGCTATGTAAGTTCAACAACCCGATGAGTTTTCAAAAAGGGTAAAACACGACGACTTTAATCTCTCCTGTTACAAATGTGGAATATAATAGTGCAGTAATGTTATAATTAGAAGAAGGCTATTCGGGCAGTAAGAAATTTGAAGATACCTAAAATATGGGAGTACCTTCTAATTCTCATGTACTGATGTTAAGGACCCAATATGCATATGATTTAGGAGATAGCTTTGGAAGGGAATACATACCTCATACATTCAGTGGGTTGTTCCCACTCCACACTACACAAGGGTAAAGAAACTGTTGGACTACTATGCACCCACCTTTGGCTCGGTTGAGAGGGTGTTACAATTTATAAGGGACTGGTTGTTAAGGGGCTTAAGGCTAAATTTCATGGATCTGTCTGACGCAGAAATAATCTTTTAGGTATGTTTGGATGGCAGGGTTGGAGTGGATTGTATATCTAAAAAAATATCCTTTCCTATTCAACCCAAACTCACCCTGAGTTAGAGTGGATTGGATTTAAATGAGTATCTTCAATCATTTCCACTATTTGAGTTGCTCATAAGTGCCCTTGGATAAGGCCATAAGGGTGATATAATATATTGTCATCAATTATTATGCCTCTGTCCTATCCAATCCATCACCATATTTGGTTTATAAATTAGCTTTCATTCCATTCCAAACAAAAAAAAATACACTTTTATATCAAATTTTTACTGCTTATTAAAATATAAAATAAACATTTTTGAATATATTGTAACCATAAACATCATATATTAATAGATAAAATATGTGGATTCATATGTTAGTATCACAAAATGAAATGAATGTGTATTACCTATTTTTTAAACTGTAAAATGAATGTGTGCATTTATTTATGATAGAAGTTTTAAAATGAATGTATACATATATGCTATTGGTTGGTGGATTGAGGACCAGAGAAATGGAGAGAGGAAGGAGACGGAAGACGCTTTGACGTTGGTGAAATGAATTCAAACAGAAGAAGAACGAATTGGCTTTGGGCAAATACATAATTTTTTGCACTTATCCGGTCTATGTAAAAAATATCCCAGCCCCTCTTAGGTTTCATTTAATCCATGTAGGTGAGTTAAAGTTGATTTTTTCAACCGGGTCAGGATAAAATTCGAATGAGATTTTTGGTGCCTTTTTTACTTACCAAACGTGGGATAAATGGACTCTACATACTTTTTTATCCTATCCTCCTATAGTTATCCCCCTTTAATCCGCGATTCAAGCATACTCTTAGAGTTGTCTCTGCAATGAACGCATAAATTCCTTGGTAGATTGACATGGAATCAAGGTTCTTATTGGAGCCACAAGTTATAATCTCGGATTGTCCACTTTGCATGCTTCTTTCCCTTTTTTATTTGACCGGGCTTTTGATCTAATAATACTCTATCTTGTGAAATATTTGCCTTTTTGAGGTCAAAGGTTTAAGTCCCCCTAAAAAAAAAAGTTTTGATCTTGGATTGTTCACATTCTTTGGCCGAGTTAAAATTGATCACCACTCTATATGGTACTAAATCCTTAAAGATTTTTTTTAATCTTTCGTCTTTTCTTGTCTTCTCTCCCCATGCAATATCGGCATTTTTTTTTTTCATTTTTTCTCTTTTGCTGGTATTCATTTTCCTTATTTATTTTCTTCTTTCTAAACTTTCTTAGTCAGTTGCTTATTCAGTTTACTTTCTACAACAAGCAAGATCTATTGCCAAGCTGGTTTCCTTCTTGTGGTTGGTTAATTGATATCTATTAACAAGATCGTTGCCTGGTGCAATGGTAAAAGCTTGGAGAAACAAGTGGAGGTTGTAGTTCGAATATAAGGAATGCCACTATGTGAAACGATGTCCAATGGTAAATTTACACTCAGTGTATCCTTTTAATGGGTGTTGATTAACCAGGAGCACTATGAGTACGAGTGAGGATATGAGAGTTCTTTAGTGCCAAACTCTAACTTTGGGATGGAAGCCTTTCTCACAGTTGTGTTAACTGGAATTTTCAATAATTAAGACAATATCTTACCTCTTATTTCAGCTCATTACACCTTTCTTAGCGATTATATGCTTGTTTTTCCTTATAAAAGTTTAATGATCCTTGTTCCACCAATTCTCTACTCTGCGTACTACTTAATACAAGTAATATTCGATTTTTTTTTCTTTCCCCATCTCTTTCCTGTAACAAATAGCATCTAGAAGTCATGGTACTGTTCCTTTTCCCTTCAAAAGTGTGTCCTATATCTACTTTCTTTGTTTAGTTAAAAATGTATACAAATTCTCTTAAGCAAGAGAATGTTTTGACTTTATTACTTGAATTGCTTACTAACATTCCATTTTTCAATTTGATGACTTAATGAATATAGAGACTTGTGGCTTTTCTTGGTCACAGTGACTGATAGCATCACCATTGTCCTTATTGTTCAGGTACATGTAAGTAAAAAGTTGCCTTTAAAATGTGCCTCTGGTTGCTCTTTTATTTTGACAATGCATAAGGCATTTAAGGCTCTCTGACTTATAATTTTTGAAACTCTGTGATTCTCCCCGTTTTTTCTGGTCCAATTTGAGGTCCATGTTGTCTTGTGAGGAGAACCTTTTGGGGAAGTATTTTCTTTTTAGATTCTGATTCGATTGATTGTCTGCTTATGTGTATTTATGTGTTTAAATAATCTGTTTTGAGCTGATGTTTTCCTATGTTTTGCAGTCAAAGTAAATCTGAACACAAAACCTGGTGGTATGTGCGCTTTATCTCGATCTGGGTGTCTAATGAGTAATCGTAGATCTCTTCACATTTGCGGTCTATTTGAAGGAAAGAAGGATAATAATGAGAAGGGTGATGATGCCCCTTCAAAGGTCAATTGAGTTATTAATTTTTCTATAGTATGTGGTTGGTAGTGGACATCTTCGTATCAATTATTGATAATTCATCTATCTTGGACAATGAATACAACTTTATTTTCATTCATGGCATCTTAATTGCTCATTAACTCATACTGTTTCAATTATTTTCTTTGACCAGAAGATAGCTAAATTTTATTACTGTTTGATTATCAAATATTGACTTTAACCTTGGATTGTGGATTGAAATTTGTTTCTACCACAACCTCCAAACATAACTGTTTCTATAAACATGGCAATCTGCAGTAGATAACTGTTGGAACTTTTGAATAAATTTATATGTAGCCCATGGGGAAGACATTAAGAGACCTACAGTAGGTAAGTTCATAACATGCGGCTGCAATGCCTCAAATTTGGGTTTAATCTCTTCATGAGCTGAAAATCATCCTTATTGACCAATTCGATAACTGCTAACCAGTAACCACTGAGCCCTTGTGGTAATTAAGATCAAAAAATTGAAAGGAAAATTTTATTTTGACGGTTAGCTGCTATTAGATTTTTGATTGTCATTTTCTTTTTTCTGGTTAAATTGAACAATATGACTGTGCAAAAATGTATGGTCCAGTTTTGACTCATCTGTTTAGATATTTATTTCCTCAACTGAAGTGTGGATGACTTATATGTTCAGATTGACTAGTCTTGTTCTCACACTAGTTGCTTTTAGGCAGGAATCATGGGAAACATGCAAAATCTATATGAGACTGTGAAGAAGGCACAAATGGTTGTTCAAGTTGAGGCAGTCCGAGTGCAAAAAGAACTAGCTGCGTATGTTTTATGTAATAGAATCGCTGATTATTTGGAGCTCTATATCTCGCTTTTATATATGATCATTGATTTCCCTTTTTCTTTTTTTTTTTTGGTTCTGTTTAACAGAGCAGAGTTTGATGGTTACTGTGAGGGTGAGTTAGTAAAGGTATGTAATTGTCTCGTTTTGTTGTTAAACTATCTGACTTGGCCATAAAAAATTAGTTTTAGCTAAGTCAATGGTTAAATGGCATGTAAACCGAGGCGGGAAGGTAGGGCTGTGAACAAATTGAACTGCGAGCCTTGGCCTTTATCATTTTGTTGGACAGTGGATCGGAAGAACTGAGGCTGCTTCAGCGCAAACTGAGCCAGAAAAGCTTTGTTCGAGCATGCCTTGCAGTTTCTGAACTCACAGATTTCAGGCCTCGTGGATCGAAGTGAGGGAGATGACCTTCATTAAAGCTTGACTCAGCAGTTACTGGCTAGGTTTGCGGGTGCAGCTGGTTGGCTGAATTAACAAAAAGTAAATTGGAAAAATTTGCATGTCCTGACTTTAGAATCGCAATTTTGACCTACTTTCTTGGCAACTTCAAATTTGAATTGGTTTGCCTGTGACGGAAATGATTTCCATAGACATGGCACATAGGTTTGTGCCATATAGAATGATGTTTTGGATGGAATTATTGCAGCACGAAGAATACACATTGGAAAAATTGAAACAAAACACCATGTTTTGGTCAAATATACTTTTGGAATGCCTTGAACGACATTCTTTAGTTACTTCAAATGCCATCTACCATGCCTTAGTGCAATCAATAGGGTGTCTTCTCCTGTTGTGCTTGCAATTTCAAATACAACAAGGCAGTGGATTGTCTTCAACCTTTAATGTTTTTTCATTTGATTAGAAAATTATTTTTCCCCAAATTTATGAGCATTTAGTAAATGATTTTTAATTGAAGTTTTCTTTAGGTAACACTATCTGGGAACCAGCAACCTGTACGCACTGAAATTACTGAGGCTGCAATGGAGTTAGGACCAGAAGTGAGTATACGTTTTACCTGATCCTTTGTCTATATTTATCTAGATTATATCAACTATGTTAATAATTGCATTTTCCAACATTGTACATGTGCCTAGCATCCTGTTGTTAACATTCAGAAAACTCGACCTCCTAATCCTTGAAGTTTTCAACAATAGAATGATGGTTTACAATTGAAAGTGATAGAAAACTATATTGAGACAATTATATATATAGAAGAGTGGCAATTCACTAAATACTAGTTCATTTTCAGGATAACTAGGTAAATATGTAAACTTAGAAGAAACATTATAGGAGAATGGCAACCCTACTGCGTCTTCTATAGTAGTTTATAAATTAATGAGTAGCATCAAGACAAATAAACAATTGCTATGTGCTACATGCGCAACTTGAAAAAGGCAATGAAGCAAAGGGTAGGTAAATTGTTCCCTGCTGTTAAACTCTCTCTCTCGAATGCTTTCTCTCACTGCTCCTCCTTCAGATAATTCATGCTGCTTAAGGTTGGTCAAAGTTAGAAAGCTCAATTTAATTAAACTAGTGTCTCAACTAGAAAGAGGTGACAAATACAAAGGATTATTGTGTTGTGACGGATCGAACACCATAATCAGTATGTGGAGTGTAAAATTCTGCATAAAAAACATATATCACATTTGCAAATACGACATCTGGGTACAAAGTTAAGGTATGTCCCCTCTCTCTCTCCAATGCTTTCTCTCACCGCTCCTCCTTCAGATAATTCATGCTGCACTGGTTTTTACTGCCACATCATATGAGAACTCTTGTCTCTTCTAGACCCTTAATATCCTCTCTTTTTCTTTGGGCCAATGCCATCTAGGCTTTAGGCGGGCCGTTCATTGCTTTTTCAACCATAGAATCCATCTTTATTGTTCTGAATATAATCCTAGAATGGTGATGGATGAATATCTGATTACATGTACATGTTCCTTGCAAGATCACAGAGGCTTTGGCAACTTTGGTATTTGTTCATACCAGGTCTGGAAAATAGTCCATGGTTATTATCCTATGTAGATGGAAATAGTGCTGGGGTCAAGTTTTTTAGTGCTATTTAAGTTTTAGAAAGTCTATATTATGAGGTTCAGTTAGTCTAGATTCACAAGGGCTTCCTTTCTTGTCTGATGACTCAGCTGTATAATTGTCGATGCCATATGACCCATTTCTGCCAATTGTCAGTGAATTCTTATAGTCAAATGACTTCTTTTTTTCTTTACATGGCTTAATGTTGGGAACTATGAAATTTTTCTAGCTGATTGGGAATTCTGGATAGGTGTGTTTTGAGTCTCCAAGTCAAGTTTTGTTCAAAAAGAGTTTGAAAACCAATTTGGAGTGCATAAGGTCTCAAATTAGAATTTTCTGCTGTGTTTTTTATGCCGCCCAAACATAGAATTGTAATGCCAACTTGTTTCCAATTATTTAGAAATAACGTAGGGATTTTAATTCCTTAGTCTAATCCCACTTTCTCAGACCCTAAGAGGCGGTAATTTCCAGTTCCCTCCCTTGGCCTGTGAACAGAGGAGTGAGAGGGGTTTCGTGGACATCAGAACCATGTAAGTGTAGAGAAACTTGATTGAACCAATCAAAGAAATCTCTCGAAGTATGAGAAAAAGAGAAATGTATTGTTAGACCACTTCAACTCTTGAAAATGACATTTACCTCAAAAAAAAAAAAAAAAAAAACCTTGAAAACGAGAGAAAGAGGGGAAACAAGAGGATAGGATTTCCAGAATAAAAAAGAAATGAAAGCACAGCAGGATATAGGGGGAGAGAGAGGACCAATTAATAATAGGATCCTACATACTTTTTCAAGTGCTTAATGGAATATCATGTTAAGGTAGCAACTACAGCAGAGATTCCATGTTAGTGCGTACATATTCTAAAATGTGTAATACATTGTAACGATAGCGGGAAGACTTTAACCTGTGCCACCTGCTTTCAGGGATGGACCACTAACCATTAGGTTATGACATCAGTATCGGGGTTTTTTCTATTTTGAAGACTGAGGAGAAACTGATCAAATAGATCTTTCGCTACTTTCAATTAATTTATTCTTCTTGTCATTATTGTTATCGTCGGTATTACCTAAAGAGATGCTAGCTGGTAATTATAAATCTTATTGTATGTAAAACTCAACTGATATCCGTAAAGCTTCAGATGTTGAAGAGAATTATCTGAGATGTTAGTTTCCATAAATAATTCTCTTCTCCCATGCAGAAACTTTCACTTTTGATTACCGAGGCATACAAAGATGCTCATCAGAAGAGCGTCGAGGTGACCTGTCCCTCTGCTAAAACTCTTGAAACTTTTTTGTATCATTCTCTGAAAAGTTTGGCCTTTTGATTTTTCAGGCCATGAAAGAAAGAATGAGTGGCCTTGCCCAGAGCTTAGGAATGCCACCAGGACTCAGTGAGGGACTAAAGCAATGATCTTTTCCTCTTGAAGGTACAGCCATGACAGAGCTTCAGTTTTGTATACTAGCTAGGCAAATGCCTTCATTTGTACAATGACCTTAAGGTATGATATTGTTAATTTTTATTAATGTTAACAGATTTGACACCTGTGATTTGTGCCGTTGGTTAAGTAGTTTGGTTGAATAATCTTGAGATTTTGGGTTCGAATATGAGGGCAGCCACTTTGAGCAAATGTTTCTAAAGTTTGTGCTCTCTCCCTTTCAATCCTTCATTAAAAATGATTAAACTGAGCAATATTTTAGATTTTGCACCTGGGATATGTATCATTCCTCGAATGGAAACCTTGATGTATGTTGCACTTCCCTAAGGAGTTCTTAGGTAAGTTGAAGGTTGTTGGCCTTGAAAATTTACGTTGTGAAGGATTTGGGTCGACTAAGTGAAAATACGGTGTTAAGTCATTGAGCCCCAACCCTGTATTGAGAAGTGTATATAGATTTGAAGTTACAAACCACTATATTATGTTGTGTGCCTAATGAGATTGAATTGGTACATTAGATGATGAGGTTTTTCTAAATCATCTTCTAAGGTCAAAACAGTGCTGCAATTCATCTGGGTTTTATTGGCAAAATCAAGCAGTGTGGATGGAGCAATAGGAGTGCTTAAACTTCTCTAAGGGGAGAAATGAACATGTCTTACTAGAGCACCAAACGCAATTTTTTGTCTCAACAATGTTATTCTTATGATTTTTTTACGTGGTTTTTTTTGCCATCTAACAACGTAATCACAACTATTAATGAGTAACCTGACCTAGTAGACAGATGGTCCATATGGAACAGATTATGGAAAATTGATAAAAATGAGATCAGTGAAGGGATTGATACGAAATTAAATTGATAGGTTTAGGTTTAGTTTTATTGAATTTATGCGGTAATATGTGGATTTGTTGGGTCCACCAATAAAATAGATTGACACAAATTCGGCTAAACACAAAATAAATACATATTGTTTGGTCGACCTCGGGTATCACCTCATACCACTAGAATTTCTACTAACTAGGGGAAAACGTATCGTGATATTCATCTAACTTTTGCAAATCATCTATAAAAATAAATTTACAACTACAAATCATTTCGAGTATAATATCGAGTTTTTTTGGTTGTATCGTAGTCATATCCTATTAAAACATTATTTTACACATTACTATTTTATTTCTTGGGTTCTTTGGAATCCGGTATACCTAATTAGACTTATTTTACAAAAAGTACATACAACAAAATATTTTGGAAAAAAGTACACAGTTGAGTTACAAATACATAAATGTTTATTTTATGGTCATTTAATTCAAAATCTCTTATCTTTAATGCACCTTGATTCATGTGTGTTTGTTAATACATATAAATATGTATTTAATGCACTTTGATTTATGTGTATTTGTTAATACATGTATATATATATATATATATATATTGTTAAATCTCTTATTTAAATTTTGAGTTATCTTTAATGCACCTTGATTCATGCGTATTTTTTTTTTAAAAGTAATTTTGTTTTCAAATTATATTTAATGCACCTTGATTCACGCGTTTTTTTTTTTGGAAAATAGTTTTATTTTTAAATTAATTTAATATCCGAATAATGTAATAGTATAACAATAACACTGTAATAACGTAACAATAGCAGTGTAACAAATACACCGTAACAAAGACAGTGTAACAAATACACTGTAACAAAAACAGTGTTCAGTAATTTTGTGTATATGATAACAAATTCAAAACAGAGATGAACTATTTTGAATAAAATTATATGAAACTATATGTTTGACAAAATGTAATAATACAATATTTTGTGTAAATAACTTGCTACACTGTTATTGTTATATTGTTATATTATTAATGTTACACTTTTTATTGTTACACTATTATTGTTACATTATTACACTATTCGGATATTAAATTAATTTTAAAATAAAACCACTTTTTAAAAACAAAAAATGTATGAATCAAGGTGCATTAAAAGATAATTCAAAATATAGATAAGAGATTTAGCAAAAATCATATACATATTAAAGTTCTCTCATAAAATTAGGAGATGTTTAATGCACCACTTTCCAAAGAAAAATAGTGCATTAAATACACATGGATTAATGGAGGGCAAAAATGTCACAAAAAAATCAGTAAAATTCAAATAATGTACTTAAATACAAATAAGTATCAAAATTAAGGATTTAATTACCCAATATTTTTTTTTATGTATTTTTTTACAATTAAGTCTAATTGGGTGTATCTCCTTCCAATTTTCGCTTATTTCTTAATTTAAAAAAAAAAACACAACTTTCCCTACAAAATTATGACTAAACATTAAAAAAAATTACCTTCAAATAGCAAAACATCTCCAACCCCAAGGTTGGCAATTTGTTCGCCAAACCTACACCTTTTACTTTATATTTTTCTTTCACTCCTCTATCAGTTTATAGTGCCTAAAGGTAACACATCTACATACTTGCCGCCACACCATGTCGGTTTAATCTATATTTATCTATTTGCAATCATGTGTAATCGGTTTCATCATTTGTTTTGTTGTTGATTGTATTAAGGGGCGGAGCTAGAAATTTCTTTCTAGGGAGCCAAATCTAATGTAACCGATAATATAAACTAAATATATAGTTTATCAATTCATATTCTTAGTGCACAAAAATAAATCCACCAAAGTAATATATATAATAAAAAAATAAAATAAAGATATGGGAAAAAATTAAAGATAAACAAAAATAATTTTTATTGCGTATTAACTCAGTCGTATGCTTAATTTGTAATACATTTTTTAACAATTTTTTCTACCTACCTAGTTAAAATCATTGTCTATGATACTGCAAAATCAAAACTTTCTTTTGACAACATTCTACGTGATATGATTAAAAGAACTAATTCACGATAGTTTTTAGATTGATCATAGATCTCATTAAATATTAAAATTTAATATTAATTCAACAATTATAATAAAATTATATCATTAAATCAACAAATTATGTCAAAATTTAAAATTTAAACAGTATTACTCAACATTTTGTTGTCAATCCCCTTTTGCTGGTATTTTCTCATGTTTAAGGGGAGGGTAACATCATGTATAATATTTTTTTTATCTTATTATATTATTTTTTATGTTTATAAATAGTTCAAACTAAAATTCACAAGTGGAAAATAAGGTCATGTTTGGTTATCATCTCGGAAACAGTTTTTTGTTCTTAAAATTTTAAAAACACCCAAAATCTATTTGTTTAGCATTTTTGTTCTCTAAATTTTGGGAAAAAAATGAGATTTGAGTCAAAGGAACAGAAAACAAGTATAGCTTGTTTTCTAAGTTTTTTTTGAAAATTTTGGAAACAAAAAAAACAATATTCCGACTAAATTCTGAATTATTTTATCAAAAATGGTATGTTAAAATTATTTTAGTTATAAATTTTGAATTTACTGTCAAAACTATTGCTTTAATTGACAGTGGAGCAAATATGAACTGCATAAAGGCAGGATTAATTCCGATTAAATATTTTGAAAAAACTACTCAATCAGTAAGCATTGCTGATGAGTCCAAATTAAATATTAATTTTAATGACTTTGTCTATGAATATGAGCAAAATTAAATATTAATTTTAATGACTTTGTCTATGAATATGAAAATTGGTTCACCGATCCATACTATATTGCTGGAAGGTTTATGACCTTGGATAATGTATTTTTATACTCTGGAAATAAATACAGAGAATATTATAAAAATATTTTAATTGAAATTGACTCTGTTAAATTCTAGAGATTCTATAATTATAATTCGAACTATAAAGATCCTCAGTATAGTAAAGCCCTTATATTAAGGGTAATTCCTGCTAAAGATTGGGGACTTAATCTTACTATTCCCATAACACTAAGCTGCTCAGAGTTTAAATAGAGTTTTTCTTTTTTAATTAGTTCTTTAAGAACTTCCACAGGATTTAAATTAATTCCAGTATTTATATTGGTGATGGGAACAATAGATGTAGAAGATGAAACTTTATCAATAAAAGATTTATCTTCTTCTTTATTCATGTCTTTAAGACATTTCTCAATAATCTGACATTTAGCGTCAGTGTTTTAATTATTCCAATAACGAATTTGATATTCCCTGATTAATCTGGGATGTCCATTATGATTATAATCACAAGGCAAAGTTCACGCCCAAATCCATGGAATAAAGAATTCAAGCCAGAAATTTATAATTGGCTTAGTTGCTATATCACTGTCCTTATTTATATATATATATTATTTATATATTGTGTGTGTGTGTATATATATATATATATATATATATATATATGAATTTGTATATGTATATATATGTATAAATATATTTTAACATTTAACATTTAACAAATCTTCATTTAGCAAGGATCATGATAACAGAGATAATGTACTGTCTACTTTATTTTTCAAGAAATAATCAGATAAACCTGATTTATCGGATAAAGCCGACCCAGAAGAACGTCACTACAACGACTGTGAATAATGTACAGTATTTATGACGTATGCAATGACGTCATTGTAAATTATTAAAATTAGGAATAGTAAAAAGTTGTGAATAATATTTTTTATTTTGAAATCCAGATTTTATGTCTGACTCTATTTATAGGGGTGAAGGCCCGACTTGTGGAGCACCACCCCCAAACCACTCTCATACCTCTTCTCTTCTATAACACCCACTTCTTTACCAACTCCCTTGACCATCTCTTTCATTCATTTCCCTCTTGCACCCTCAATAAACCCTTTTTTGTATAAACCCTCATTCTTCCATCTTTTACTTTATTACTGTAAATAGACTCTACTTTGTAAATACACTTTTAATTTAAATAAAAGTTTGTCTATTTTGTAGATACAACGATCCTCCCCCTTTCTGGTATCAGAGCCAAGTGAATGGTAGCTTAAGTTTATTCTGTTGATTTATATGCAGATCTATTACTAATTCTTGTTGCTTATGTAATTGTGATTTAA